TTTTGCGGTATTGCACTGGGTATTTCATCCAACCCATATTAGTAAACACGAATTCCAAATAAGGAAACGATTATGCGCGTAAGTGTCCTCTAATAATAAAAACAAACATGGCTGCCCCCAGGGTTTACCGGATCCCACACAAAGAAGTTCGCTAAATCTAGTTTGGATTTCGGCATTCCCAAGATGTATTCCTGGGAGAAAAAGGATGTATAATAATAAGGTTATTGCGAGGATACTACAAAGTAGGCACTCGGACAGTACGCGGTCGCATCGACCAACGCGCACTCTCGCTGTACTTCGTGCATACTTTGCTATATCTTCGCACTAACCTGGTGATAAACCAATTATCTCAGTGAGTATATTGTCACGCAGAGGTCATTTTCCCTACTATTTGATCCAATAACACTGTGACAATTAGTAACTATGTGTGTTAATACCCCACTCTCTTTGATCTACGTATCTCCATCAACGGGTGAAATCAGTAGTCTTTATTATTCGCATTTCTATGATTCTTCACCAGAAAGCTTGTATCAAAGACATATCCCGATGCTGATATAATAAAGGTTTATGAAAAAGGTGTTTCCACGGAAAATATGTATTTCGGTCTTAATAAGTCGAGAAACGATGCAGGCATTACATATCTGCTGCCAGCACAAAGGACGTGCGCTTTAATTGGTAATGGAGGAATATTATTAAATAGCAGTTGTGGTGAAGAAATCAACTCCAATAACTTTGTCGTTAGGTGTAATATTCCAGTAATAACGGGATACGAACAAGACGTTGGAAATAAAACAAATGTTACAATTGTAAATCGAGCGACAATGATGCAACTTTACAGAATGTCCCATCGGCGAAAGCAAAAACAACTTCCAAATTTTCTCAACAATTACGTTTCATTGAATAACACCATACTTTGGTACCCCGGGGTATCGTCAGTGCCCGTAAGACAGCGTTCAATTGCGTATCTGAAATCCAGGTTAAATCTTGTATATGAAGTAGCATACACCGCTCAAAGAAGCTTCATACCAAATGTAAAAAGGTAATAGTAAATATTATTATTAATACTTATATTAACAAAATCTCTCATAAATGACACTGTTGATTTTTATGGTCGCTAAAAGATCACATGACCGTAAATGATTATCTTGGCCGGGCGGATTAATATTGGAATGCAAATGAGCTATTGGCTCCTTGTATCTCATTAGTAATATGGTCGTCTTACGTCATAACATCCGGGGCAGAGGCTGCGGCACGAAATTGTGCATGGGGCGAGATCTGCTCACCATCGCGCATTTTTTTATGGTGGGGGGTGGGGTCTATGTTCATACGTGGATAAAGACTAAACTGAGCAGGCGTTGTTATCGGCCGACATGTTTCTTTATAACACTTGCAATGAATAGAACTCCACAGCGAGGCTGACGTTGATCGCGTGTTTTTAAGGCGGCTTATTGTTCACGCGTGCTAAAGGCAAAGAACGGCGTGGCGCGGCTTATCTTGTTAACACGTGTTTCAACGCCGGCTTAACTATAAAGCTGGTCTACATACCGGCTTTTTGGCACACGTGTGAACACGTGTGAACACGGTATTAGATGCTAGTCTAGGGTGCCACGTTGAACACCTTCGCCACCTTTCACAAAATATATCCCATAACAGTTTCCATATTTATTCAACAATTCAACGCGTACAAACACATAATCAAAGTTTAACTAGGTAAATCCTCTGATGACTGAGATACTGGATACTAAGAATCAAAGTTGTTATTTAGTGCAAATCGCGTCTAAATAAAAAAAAAACTAGCATTTGTGCTTGCCACTGAGAACGCATTGGATTATTGGAAATCAATATTTATTAGCGCAAACTTTACACATGCGTGACGTGGCGAAAAACACTTCCCTTTAATTTGCACTGTTTAACTGCAAGTATAACATAAACGCTAATTTTTTTAATTCGTTCTACAGATTTCTACACTTACGTCGATTACCATCGACAGGACTACGGACAATGGTTCTCGCGCTTTCATTCTGTGACGTCATCACAATGTACGGATTTTATCCTCGTCTTCTGGACACCACTGGCAACAAGGTGCCCTATCATTATTACGGCTCTAACGCGACGATAGATGACTTTAAAGCAGCACATAACTGGAAGGCAGAATTTTCACTGCTGGAATCTTTACACAGAGACGGTACCGTGAAGTGGGTGACTGGGAAATGTACATGAGTCATGATTGGTTATACATTTATACACTTACATTTTAACGAATAATGGCGATGAGTTTAATAAATTAAACATTTCTTTGCTCTTTTTGGCTTTTTAAATTCAATTTTGAAAGACAATATTCAAAAAATTTGACAATGTACAAAAACCAAAATACATGCACATACATTAATACACACTGTTGCATTTTTTTGAAAAGGTATATTATACTACGTATACGGCGTGAGTAAAATATTGTCAATCTGTCGCGCTCTCTAGCGACAGAACAATTCAGTGACGTAACTCTCCATATTGTTAATGATCTATGATTTTCCGTCCATATTTGTTTTGTATACAGGCCGTTATACGTGGCAAGGAACCCCTAAATCGCCGGTCGTGAATAAAGATAGTCATAATGATGAACGACTATGCTTGTTTATGGTCGTTCGCGTTTGGAAAATATTACATAATTATTGTTGTTTGGTATAATTTTCATAGGAGTGAAGCCTTTTTCATGAATAGTATTCATCAGAAATAATTCGTCTTAACCTTAAATTATCATCTTATAAATATATATGTTGTTTTACACCGTATGTAATGAAGCGAAATTTAGAAATATGGTTTCAGCGTAATGTTTGATCAGAGCCATCGTCCGTATCGAACGGTTTGTTGGAGCCGACTTATTGCCAACCCGTGGTAAACGCGTATTTTATGTTAAACAAATGGCCAAGTTTGGTTGGATCAAAGACATTGTCTTTGGTTGGATGCGCCTGTTGGAAAGACGCCCAATCAGACGCTCGGTACCATCATTACGCGGTGAGGTAAAGAACAAAATGTCTGAAATGACGAAGTGTAGCTCGGTTACTTCAAAATTCTTCTAGTAACCGCGCATGTAGAGTGCGTTTAGGTTGTTTGCCAAACTCAAAAAACCGGTGCTGCATTTTTTCACCCAGTTTTCCACAATTTTTGTTATGCCAACCTTGCCGGCTTTTTGTGGTCTGTCGAACAAAGTAATGAAACTGTCAATGTCACTGTCAGCTGAAACAAACGTTCCTTGGCTAGCTATATTCAATGATAGTCAACTTCTTTATTGTTTACACACACATTTACTTCTATTTTGACGTCACGGAAGCGACTCGTCAATAGAGGGCGTGACTTATATGAAACAAATTTAAACTATGTACTAACGAACATAGTAATTAGCCTACTGTGAAATGCACAATGGACAACAACTTTCTACATAATATAATGAGAAAGAAATTAACAAGCTTGTTATATAAAACGGTATTCTTTTAATATCTGAAACAGAATGTGTCAGATAATAATATTATTAGGTTCATGTCACCGGGCATATAGAAGAAGCGTAAATTGTACCACTTTCCAACACATATTTCTCATAAAATATTGCAGTGGTCCCTAAGTGTGTTACTTAGTCGGTTGTCCCAATTCTCAGTATCATGGTGATTAAAGGCAAATCAATTATTCGGACCGAACCTTTCCAAGGATATGGTGCAAGATTAACTTTAAAAAAAACGTCAACAGTAGTTCGGAACTAACAATTACAAAAAGTGTAATTTATGCTTAATTGTTTTCGCCAACTTGAAAGAAATTCCAGGTTTTGTGTGCATGTATAGGACATGCAATATAATAAAGGAATGAGCTGTTCTTCCGGGGTGCCAAACCTTGGGATATCACCAAGGAATTATGGGACACCAGTGCCTGTGTTGTTTACGTTATTAAGGTTCATTTTGTATTCCATTCATTTTAATCCAGTCCATTTGTTGTGAGATAGGAATCAATTGGAGTAGCCGAAGCAAATACAGGTTATCTATCATTTCATTTGCTACTGCTACTCGTTCTTAAACGGCAATTTGCTTTAATAATTTATTTATATTATTATTGTGATAACTCACTCTTTAATACCGGTTTCGTAGTTAATATAAAAGAGATAATCAGCGCTAGAGCTTGCTTGTGCACCCGCCCCCCACTCAGGATCCATAGGGGGCCGCATGCGCGTTCCCATTTTCTCGGGAAAGGGGTACTTTTGACGATCTGTCTCGGGAACATT